ATAGTAACAGCAAACAGAAAACCCTGAAACTGAACCATAACAAACATGTTTCATAGTAAAACGTAGGGGTTGCAGCAACAGTTATAATTCAAGGGAAATTTGAAACATCAGCATTTGTGTGAGGAAGGAAGAAAATTGAAAATTCATGAGCTAAATATCCAACTTAAGAAGATGGGGCAGGGGCCCTAGGTAGCTTGGTTGAGCGTCTGCCTTCAGCTCAGGTCATGATCCCAGGGTCCTGGGATCGAGTCCCTCTTCCTCGTAGGGCTCCCCACTGAGTGGGGAGTCTGCTTCTCCCTCTCCCTCTGCCCCTCCCTCCACTCGTGATTTCCCTCTTTTTCAAATAAATAAATAAAAATAAAAACTTTAAAAAAGATGGGGGAAAACAGTGGACTATGGAACTCGCCCTTAAAGGGAGAACCAAGATGATAAGTAAGACAGAAGGAATTAGTGGGCTAGGAAACAGAGGTGCAGTTAGAGAAACAAGCAAACCAAAAGTGGGTTCTCTGAGAAAGGGGCCACATCGCAGTACATTCACACATTAGAATGATCTCTCGCGGTGAGAACAAACTGCAGTGACAGCCAATTAGCTTGGATAAAAGTCAGACATAATGATTGAAGAGAAAAAAGCTATAGAAGATGAAGTACAACAAACACCATTTTTAAAAAAGATTTTATTTGAGAGAGAGCATGAGCGGAGGCGGGGGGGCAGAGGGAGAGGGAGAAGCAGGCTCCGCACTGAGCAAGGAGCCCGATGCAGGATTGATCCCACCATGACCTGAGCCGAAGGCAGACGCTTAACAGACTGAGCCACCCAGGTGCCCCAGTAATACCATTTTTAAAGCTCAAGAACATGCAAACCAAAATTATATACTGTTCAAAATGCATGTATATTTGGAAAAGCTTTTTGTTTTTTGAGCAAGAGAATGACAAGCACAATGGTAACCATGGAGCAGGAGAGAGACACAGGGCTGGCATCTGGAAGAGCACACAGGGGCTTCAATACTGTGGTAAGTTCACATGGTTTTAAAATTATCATGGTTCATAGCTTGCAAGGATGTTATGTATATATTTTTAGCAGGTATCAAATAGAAAGTAATAGTTTTTAGAAATTGTAAGCAAATCCTGCTCACTAAGAGGTCTCCGACTACGCAGTTTCTGCACATTCCCAGCTTGGGTCTCAGAGCCTGAGGCTTCACATTGAGCCTTGGCGTTGGGCCATCCTTCTACCTTTTCAACTCCTGGATTCTACATAGAGAAAGGCTGTCATTTAGCATATTCTTAGATGCTTGAGCATCTTTAGGATTGATCTCCTTGGGACGCCCTGCTGAGACAACAAGGAAGGGAGAAGAAAGGAAAGAGAAGCCAAGGGGTCTTCTCTTTAATGTCCTTCCCAGAGCCCCAGCCATGAGCCCTCCATGCTTGGGCTCCAATCTATACATCTACTTTCACCGCCTTGCCTCCCAGTAGTGCCAGAAGGGAGGGGGTGGATGCTGAGCAGCCCAAGAGGTGAACTATAGTGGACATACGTCATCTGAGCCTGCCCTGAACATAGGTCCCTTTTCTAACAGTTCTTTGATTTCCTTTCAGGAATTACATCTCCTCCACTGAATGCGGTTTTGACGGGCAGACAGGTCTAGATGCCTGCCTCCCGCCACGGAATCTGGAGGGGGCAGAGCCTTCCAGCTGTGAGCCAATACAGCTACGAGATGGGCATGGGACTTGTGCTGGGCCAAGTGAGAAAATTCTCCCTGACTGTCGCCTCATGAGGGAGTGAAGGGGACTCTTCACAGCCACAGTGAAGCCCTTGGCAGCTGCCTGCAGATCTACCGAAGTTCCTACCCACTGGTCTGTGGGCCTGTAATATCTTTCCAATACCTATTTCTTTTCTCTTGAATTAGCCATTCCACTTATTTTCTTAAATTGCAAGAAAAATAGATGTTCACAGCAGATGAACAAAAGAATAACAGAAATGCAATACATTGAAGTTGGAGTTCTCTCCCCAGGAAAACCACTGTTATTCGTTTGTTATGTATCCTTACAAATCTTTCTCTAGCCATATACAGAGAGAGAGACTAGATCTCTAGAGAATTTGGGGTTATGGGAGATGGGAGGGATTATTACCCCAAAAAGGGATCATATGAAATATATTCTTATTTATTCTTTCCCTCAGTGATCTAGTATAAACATTCTTGTCAGTACATAGCAATCTGTGTCATTCCTTTTAATGGCTGCATAGTATTCCATTGGGTGAGCACAATTTAATCCTTATCTGTTGCCAGACATGAACATTGCCTCCAACTTTCTAGTATTACAAATAATGATGTAGTAAATATCCTTATACTTACATAATTTTGTATAACTGTGAAAATACCTCTGTAGGTAAGGACTGCATAGAAATCATTTCAGGAGCAAAGGATATACGCATTTAAAATTTTCATAAAAGACACTGCTAAATTGTCCTTCTGCAGTTACACCCACTTCCCAACAACATAGGGAAGTGCTCACCCCCTGCTCACCCCCCAGTTATGAATAGTTTAATATATTTTAGTAATTCGATAGATGGAAATCTTTGTTTCTCATATGCATTTCCCTATTGATGAGGATGCACATCTTTTTCAAAAATGTATTAGCCAATTTGCTTGTAGATTTTTTTCTTATTGCTTGATTTCTTCATGTATTAGAAATGTGAACATTTGGGGCGCCTGGGTGGCTCAGTCGTTAAGCGTCTGCCTTCGGCTCAGGTCATGAACCCAGGGTCCTGGGATCGAGCCCTGCATTGGCCTCCCTGCTCGGCGGGGAGTCTGCTTCTGCCTCTCCCACGGCCCCTGCTTGTGTTCCTGCTCTCGTTGTGTCTCTGTCAAATAAATAAATAAAATCTTTTAAAAAAAAAAGTGAACATTTTATCAGTTATATATTGCAATTATTCTCTCCAAATTAGTGATTTGTCTTAAATCTTGGTTTTGGTGTCTTTGGCTGCATATACATTCTTTATAATTTTTAAGATTTATTTATTTTAATTTTTTTAAAAGATATTTTTTATTTATTTATTTGACAGAGAGATAGCACAAGTAGGCAGAGTGGCAGGCAGAGGGAGAGGGAGAAGCAGGCTCTCCGCTGAGCAGGGAGCCCGATGCGGGGCTCGATCCCAGGACCCTGGGATCATGACCTGAGCTGAAGGCAGCTGCTTAACCAACTGAGCCACCCAGGTGCCCCAAGATTTATTTATTTTAGAGAGAGAGGGGGGAAGTAGGAGGGAGGGGCAGAGGCAGAGGAAGAGAAAGTCTTAAGCAAACTCCTCGTTGAGTGCAGAGCCCAAAACGGGGCTCAATCTCACAACCCTGAGATCATGACCCGAGCTGAAACCAAGTCGGACACTCAACTGACTGCGCCACCTAGGCACCCCTACATTCTTTGTAATTTCTATAATTTTTTTCTTTATGGCTTTTGGGTTCCTGACCACAGTCAAGAAAGTTCTCCCTGTCCCCAAACTCTCCATGAACACACTGACACGCATTTTCCCCCAGAGGCAGCATGTTGTAATGGTTAGTTGTAGAAGTGGAAATTCTGGAGCTAGCTGCACTTCTTAGGTTCGGATCCTAGCTCTGGCTAATCTCTCTGTGCCTTCATTTTCTCATCGGTAACATGGGGTTGTGGTGGTGGGGATTAATGAGTTAATATATGGAAAGCATTTAGAATAGCGCCTAGCAGATAGAAAAACTCCTTCCTTTATAGTTGTTGTTTTGGGTTTTTTTTACATTTAGATTTTCACCTTTTCTGTTGCATGATCTTTTCCTCAGGTGGAGAGCCAGTTTTATAAAATAGTCTGTTTTCCCACTGACTTGAAATGCTACCGTTAGAATAGACTGAGGAGCAGGTCATCCCGAGGAGGGCCCTACAAGGCTTGACCAGCGCGCAGCCCCCCATGATAACCGCACTTGCAAGGACGCTAGTCAGTGAGTACTTGGGGGCCTCCGTGGGATCCTGCTAAAGGCAGACGTTTTGAAGCTGAATTAATAATGTTCAGACACTCGGTGGCCTCTGCCCTCTGAGCCCCACCCAAACACCGGACCGGGAAGGTCACCCTGGTTACCCTGCGCGGTTGCCTGCTGAGGGAGGTGTTCTTGGGAAAGCAGGCCCAGGCTAAAGGTGTTACCACCAGCTACGTTCTCCAAAGTCGTCCTGGTAAGAGAGGAAGTGAAGCGAACTGTCCCACTGAACTTGACACGAGAAGAGAGAACGTGCCTCCAGGACGGATGCATTTAGCTGTGAAGGGTGGCTGGAGCCGGTGGGAGGTGTCTCCGGGGGGAGAGGCTTCTGTGCAGGAACCGTCTATGGTGGCGGGGCGGGCTGGGAACCGCCCGGGTTCCACTGCGGCTTTTCCTGGAAGACTCGGGCACAAACACAGCAACTGTCTGGGGTGTGCTGCCCCCTCCTGGCCGAACGGGTGCTGCAGTCGGAGCACCTGCTGTTGTAGCAAAAAGCGAGGCCGCCACGCTAGCAGGATCCTGTAGCTCAAAAAAACCACCCCTCACACCCCCTGTGCGAGAGCTCGGCAGGCTGCCTGCTGACCTTCCACGGTGGCGGTGACGGCCGGTGGTGGCCCTCGGCTGCGAGGGGCCGAGGCTGGTGCCCGCCAGGCAATGCCGAGCAAGCGGATCCCAACAGTGGGGTGAGCCCAGATAGAAAATGCAGATGGGCCAGTATGTAGCTTCCATCGTCAGATTCTCTCACAGCGGAACAGAGAGTAGTCCGACTCGTGCACGAGCTCCCAATGCGGCAAGTCCATGCTGAAGAGAAGCTGGGGAAAAGGGTGTGAATCCAGGAAAGGCTCTGAAAAATAAACTGCTCTCACCCTACTTGCCCCTCCCATCCTCCTGCCCCAGCCTCTGGTAGTGGTAATGTCAAGCACCCAGAGATCCGGAGCAGTGTCCGGGGGAGTACGGTGCTCCAGCATCCTTCTGACCCCAGGAGGGAAGGGAAACAAAGCCAAAGGGAGGTAAGCTTCAAACGTTAATGTGATCTTTATTCTACAGCACGTGTGGTATCTGCAACCCCACAAGGATACAGAACACTCTATAAAACCAAACCCAACCACCCAAAACGACACTAGATGAAGATTTAACCCATAGGTATGACTCTTAAAAACAACACAGTCTCGTCTGCCGTATTATGGAAAGAGCACAGGAAGGGAGAGTGAACGACTGAGGTTTGTGCCAAGGTAACTTCCTCTTGTTATTGCACTTTTATTCTACACACTTAGTATGTTACACTTTTATTAACACTGTAATAGACATTAGTCCTTTAAAACAAACAAAATATTACATAAGGATAAAAGACAACATGCTGTCCAGACCGGTTTCCTTCTCAACCCTCTGAGTCGGGTGGCCAGGTATTCCCATGGTCTCCACGTGCATCTCGACAGGACTGGATGTTAACAAAGCAGATGAAGTTAAAAATAAAACCCTTTTAAGAACAGCAGTGTTCCTTGCAACCTCCAAAGGAGTTTGCGATGCAAGTTTCTGAAGGTTGCTCCCTCCTCACCCACTTAAATACAGCGCTAGCCCTAACCGTCCCCCCCCATATTTAGAAGGATAAACCCACTTTTTTCTTTTAAAGAAAAAGTGGGTTATTTGATCCAGCAAATTCAGAAGTCAAACTTTGAAAACTCAAAGAAAGCAACTACTCTTTTGGCGAAGGACTCTTCAAGGGCCCTTTATCCTGCTGCGAAGCAGTCTGGGCTTCAGAGACTCCCTGATTAGCCAGATGAACAGCGAGCCTGCCTCCTCTCCAAAGCGAGGCCACAGGGGACCTCTGCCCCCTTAGTGCTACTATAATCACCGATCCCTCTTGGCTTCTCAGTGCTAAATAATAAGCCAAAAAAATTAAAGTGTCATTCAGTGCAGTTACTACTTTGGAGCCCTGCTGCCCCAAACCCCTTCTCCCGTCTGGAAACAACTTCCAAGCCATCTTTGGCAGCTCAGCAAAGATGCACCAAGATGCACCGGAGAGCTGACACATACTGGGGGAGAGTTCTACCAGTCCCCCCGTTTCCATCTGTGGCAGTAATATGTCCTTTCCTTCACTGTTTCCTTGAATTTTAGTGTTAAAAATTAGGAGAAGCTGCTACATAGGCTCTGTCCCCTTGAAATTGATGGAGTCACAAGTGATTCTCTTTGGTCTGGGAAGAACCCGCACAGCCCTCCTTCCTAGAGAAGTGGAAGGCTTGCTCAATCAACGAGCCACTCTCTACAGAGGGTCAAGGAACTAGGGCCCGCCCATGGAAACCTCAGCCAGACAAGCATTCCCCAACTCATGCCAGACTGACCTCCCTGCCAGCTCCCCAGGCACAGGGTCAGCCGCTCCGGGGCCCCACGCTCCGCCATGTCTTGATTGCTCTGCAAGAAGGTCCCTCACTCAGTTCTGAAGTAACGCAAGTGACTGGACTTCAAGCGTGTTAAAAATGGCCAGGTGATCATTTTCAGGCTGGGGTAAGTTGCCCTAATGAAGTTGATTAGAAGGACAGAACACAGTAAGGGTAACCCGTCCCATCCTTCCTCTTCCCCCAGCCACAATCTCACCTCACCACTCGGGAGCACATACAACCAAAGCTAGGAGGTAAAATCTTTAGGACTTTGGTCTTGTTGAGCCCGCTACAGCCCAAGTGCCCCCAGACTTCTTTGAATACCTAGTGTCTTCCCAAGTAATATACAGTACAGTACATTTCATGGCATTCCATCACTTTAGTAATAATGGGTGCCAAGGAACAAAGAATCCCAAATTAGCTGACAATGTTATAAAACAAAAGCAAAGTATGTATGTGTTATATATATGTATTCCCACACTCAGCCCGCTGAGTGTTCAAAAAACACCTCCAAATATCTCTACATGGACTTTGGCTGGCCTGGAGATCTTCAGGAATATCTTGCACCTTTTCTCAAAATACTTTTTTGTAATGAATTGTTAACAACAACTACTGTCTTACTTAGCATTAGTCCCTCCCATCCTCCCTTCTCACTCAGGCAAAAAATGTGGGAATCTGCTAGGAAACTGGTGCCTGAGAGCAGATTAAGCTGCAGGGAGGGGACAAACTGAAAAGGGACACTGGGTAGAGGAAAACCTACCCCCCCCCACCAGCCCCTGCATGAATGGGGGTAGGAACTAAGACTTTGGAAGAATGTTAGAAATGTGGCTTCCACAACGTAAGCACAGACTCCTGATTTGAGCTGGAGTAAAGGAAGAGTCTCTGGGAAAGGGAACTATAGAAGACCTTTCCTGAAATTTCGTACAGAACAGACTGATTTTTCGGCAGGTAGACACTATTCACCTCTCCTTTTTAAACTTGAAAACCTGGCTTCCTGGAAGCCCCATCATAGTCCCCAGGAGGACAAACAAGTTAATGCAGACAAGAATAGAGTGACTTGAAGAAGTAAAGCTACAAATGGCTGTTAACAATTCTAAGAGATCTACTGAACATTCCACCAGAACAAGGCTGGAGCTCATACAGAACCCAAAGACACTGGGTCGGTCACTTTACCGTTTGCAAGTAAAAAGGTTCTTAGCACTGTACGGAGTTTCTAAAGGGCTCCAAGTGCTTGGAGGCTTACTACGCTCAAGTGTATCATCATCAGAGCCCAGCAGAGTCAAAGAGTGAAAACTGAACTTTAAGAGTTATATGAAAAATTTCTTGTAGATGTCATTTATACTCAACGTTTAAAAGATGGTCATTCTCTCAGAAACAACCCTACAAAATTCTAGCAGCAAATCTGCCCATTTCCTTACACACCTACTCAGGGACCTGCTTCACAGACTTGGGGGCCAGGCACAGGGGAGAGACCACAGTGCTTGGAAATTAGGCAGATGGACGGAGGCTACTCACCTCCACTGTCTATTCCTTCACCCACCTGGTGTTCTAAATCAAATGGACCATTTCGGTTGAGTGAGGCTTTAAGTCAAGATCTGAGATGCATCAACATGTAAATTGTCCCCCTCCAGAATTTCCCCACCTAGGCACACTTCCTGACACACGCTCCAAAAGCCCACCAGCACGCCTCCCAGCCGAAGGGGAGGGACTGTCCCAGACGCGCACACACAGATGTGAAAGGAACACACAGAGCTACAAAAAGCATTCTCTTTCATCTGGTGCTTTCCTTCTTAAGTTATATTCAAAATAAAGTAAAATGAAGGGACGAGTTGCAAAAGAAATCTTGGTTAAAAAGCTCATTGATGGAATTTAAAAACATCAGTGGGTTAGATTCAAACACAAAAATGGGAATTTTTGATCCTTCTAAGTTTTAGAAACAACCTGGTATCCTCCTAGTAGGTTTGCAGGGAAGCCCACGGCCTCCAGATCACTGCCCACGTCTCCGGTCTCACCAGTTACTCCGTACCGGTCAGTTTTACTCAGATACTCATCCCCAGATACCATGTTAACTGGAGTTTCCCCATCTTGAGACCAAAAACGGTGGGGAAAAAATCAAGACCAAAGGGAAGAAGAAGAGATTCTATCCTGGGGTTAGCAGTAACTCAAAATCCAATCACATATGTGTATATATATACATGTGTATTCACATTTTTTTTTCTTTTTGTGGCCTCTTGGTGATGGAACTGTGACACCCACCCCCAGAAGTCAGTCCTATAAATGTAAACACACTGGCACCAGAATGAACAGACAAGCTCTGTTTCCAGCCCCCTCACTGGGTCCTCTGGCCGCTGCAACCTGAGATCCGGGTGCGGGGAGCAGCAAGTCGCTGTTTTGCTCCTACGTTCTCACAATCCCGGAACTAAGTTCAAATTTCCTAAGGGTCCTGACGATGCGATAGAACCAAACTATTCCTAGCTAGAGCCAAAATTACGAAAATTATAGTTTTTAATACTATCGCCACTGCAGTGTCCCGCCTGTCTTAGCAACATACAGTGAACAGACAATTGGTACATTTGCCTCCTTTTCAGTTCTGAGGCTGGAACATTGCATTCTTCGGCGTTTACGTGTCCTAGACAATCTTTTGCTAATGGGATGGCTTGGGGCATCAGTGAGCTGCTGAACGTGACCCACAGCCAGCCAACTCTTCACTATCCAGGAGGCACCACTGCCTGGGAAGGTCTCAAGCTGCCCAGCAAGCATCAGTTCCCTCGGGAGCTCTCTGAATAAATGTCAAATTCTTCCCATGGCCAAAAGGTGAGGGGAAGAAATAGAGAGTAAAGGAGAAAGGTCTTTGCTTTCAAGTAGAATCATCGAGTCCTCTGTTTGGCTGCTCAGAATTTGACTTGCATAGCCGGTCCATGATGCCCTGGAGCATGGGCTGGACGATGCCCAAGAGAGGTCTCTGAGAGGGGTCCCCGTCCCAGCAGGCCTCCATCAACTGCCAGCACTCCTCGTCAAACACAGGAAGACGCTCTGGCCGGGCCCCTGGAGAAAGGCACATGGAGACAAGGCCAGGGTCAGTGAGAGGGCCCGTGCCACGATGAGGCCCGACCAGCTCGCAGACCGATCGCCCAGGTGGGGCTCCGGAGTTCTGGCTTCAACTGCAAACACTGAGGTCAGAACCTAGTAGTAACGGTGACAACAAACTGGAACGTACTGGCATAGGAAGTTGAAGAATTGGAAAGGTTCAAGAAAAAAGCCTTCTTGAAACAGTTCAGTACAGGGACGCCTGGGTGGCTCGGTCGGTGAAGCGTCAGCCTTTGGCTCAGGTCATGATCCCGGGGTCCTGGGATCGAGCCCCGCATCGGGCTCCCTGCTCCGCGGGAAGCCTGCTTCTCCCTCTGCCCCTCCCCCTGCTTGTGTTCCCTCTCTCTCCCCACCTCTCTCTCTGACAAATAACTAACTAAAATCTTAGGGAAAAAAAAGAAACAGTTCAGTACAGTACTGCCTGAAAGCGAAGGCCTGACTTCAGTGTCTTTCCTGGATTCCGTGACGGTATGTGGTCCCGCTGCTCTCAGTGGTGGTGGGGGTGGGGGTGGGGGGGTAGTCAGGATAAGGTAGGGCTTGTGGCTCTTACCTCTCCGCACGTTGTTCCAGAGATGGTCTTTGCTGGCACACCTCTCAAATGCTTCAGGGAGCTTGACAGAGCCCGAGCAGATATACCAGAAGAGAATGCCAAAGGCGTAGACATCGACGGAATTATCATACTTCCCTGGAGCGAGAAGGGGCGAGACAGTGAGCCAGGGACAGAGAGCAGCTGCATCCCCACTCACGGGGTCTGCAGAGGTCTCCACACCTTTTTTCCTAAAGCTTTTAACATCCATTGCCTCCCCTAAGAACCCCGGTTGGCAGGACCGTTGACAACGCCCATCTTATTACACCCCAAACCACAGCACAGGGAGGGCAGCGCTAGATACCAGGAGAGCCGAGGCTGGAGCCTGACAAAGGAGGAGGACAGGCCTTTGATTTTGATGGAACACTGCTCGCTTCAGCTGCACATAGACTAAAATTGGAATGATTTTGATGGAACAGCCAAAAAGACTCATCCTGAAAGGTCGGATTAGGGAAATAAGGCTGGGAAACAGGTGGGTGGGTAGATTGGAACCAGAATGTAAAGATCTTTAAAACGTCAGACAGAAAAGTCTCGATTCGATGGACAGCAGGAAGTCCCTTATGTTGTAGGGCAGCAGGTGACACGAAGAACGTATTTTGGAAAAGATTCTTCTGTCAGCAATAGGACTGCAGAGAAACAATCCAGGGAAATGAAATACGAAGTCGCCAAAAGAAAACGAAAGCAGTGGCAATAGAACTTCTTTAAGAAGTAAATCCAGAGGGGGGCACTGGGTGGCTCAGTCGTTAAGCGTCTGTCTTCGGCTCAGGTCATGATCCTGGGGTCCTGGGATCGAGCCCCGCATCGGGCTCCCTGCTTGGCGGGAAGTCTGCTTCTCCCTCTCCTACTCCCCCTACTTGTGTTCCCTCTCTCTCTCTCTCTCTCTGTGTCAAATAAATAAATAAAATCTTTAAAAAAAAAAAAAGCACACACACACACACACACAAAAAAAGAAGTAAATCCAGAGGAAGAGACACGCTGCGTGCGCGCTCGGCTGCGCTGTGGCTCCAGCCAGCCCCAATCCTTCCGTGCCCGACTCCGCGGAGGGCAGGGGGCAGCACTGTGCACGAGGCTAATGAGCGGAGGCCGCGCAGGGCGCCAATCCCAGCTCCTCCCCGCGCCGCCGAGGGGCCCGCCGTGACCTTCGCGTCCGCCTCGGCAACGCCGCAACCATGCCCCGTCCGTGAGGCTCGAGCCCTCGGGTCCTCGCCCGGCCCCTCTCCGCTGCTGGTCGCGGGTGTTCCGTTGATCACACGATCTCGCCCGCTCCCCCCGGAGCTGCCCTGGCATCCGGCGCACCACCAGCAGCCTGCTCCCGGACGCGAGCCCCACTGCTCTGCCCACTCGAACCCCTCCACCTCCCGCTGCTAAGCTAACCTTACGCGAACGCGTTTTCTGCCCGCGCCTGCGCACAAGCTCAAGTACCTCAGGACCCCCACACCGAGCCTTCGCTCCTCCGCGCAGAGTTCAAGCTCAGAGCATTTCATGTCCAGCCTTGTATGCTGTTACTCCCCACCTGGATTTCCTTCCTGTCGTGCTGATGCTGCAATTTTCCTATTTCCCTTTCCCCAGCCTCCAGAATGTTCTCTCCTTCGTGACACATGGTTAGATTCTAGAGCCAGAAAAACCTAGATTCCAATCCCAGCTCCATCATCTCTAGTGTTTTGGGGTGGCTTTCTGAAGTTCACCAATCTGGACTCGACTTTACCTGTGACGTGGGCATAAAAATGCATCACCATCACCACAGAAGGGCCGTGAGGATTAAATGGAACAAAATATATGAAAAAGCATAGTCATGCTGCCCAGCTCAAAGAACACACTTCCTACGGGTTCCCTTCCCACAGACCAATTTTTCCAGACCTGACTCAAGTTCCACCCAACATCTCACTTCTACCACAAAACTGTCAAACACTTCAACCTTCATCACCTGTCTGAACACCGTCATGTTAGGTGGCACCCATTTTAGTGCCTTGTCACACGGTGTCCTATACGGCTTCCTAATTATCCTACCTCTCTCAGTGCATCTCTGTCATCTGTAAGTTCCTTAATGATCAGGGCCAACTCCTGACATATAGAAACCATTCAATCAGTATTTACTGATCAACCAATTGGCTGATTATGGCAATTATGGCACGAACAGCCGGAGAAACCTGCACAAGAAGACCTGGTGTCTCCCGTGTGCATTTTTCCTTCTCCCCTGCCCTGCCTTAGAGGTCTCCCTCCTCTGCTTCTCCCTTGCCTGCACCAGATCTGCCAGGAGTACTTGTGGATACTACTTAGCCCAAGGGGTAGCCCTCAGGGTTAAAGTACGGAGCCCTGCTGAAGCCCACTCCCTGCCCCACAGCTTACCTGTGAAAAGTTCAGGGGCCATATGGATTGGCGTCCCCACAATGCTGCCTGACATCATGGCCTCTGGCTTGCAGAATCCTAAGTCAGTGATCTTGGCACGGTTCTGCTTGTCCAGCTGCCAACAAAGCAGGGCGAGAGTGAGCCTGCGTCGGATCCTGCACACAGCTCTCAGATGCACAGTCAAGCTCAGAAGCAGGCGTCTACCTTCAAGTAGCACTTAATTAAGCCTCCCTGTCTCCAGATTTGCTCCCACTCCTGTCTTCTCCCCAGACTGTCAGCAACCTGGATGGCAGGGGCTATCTTCTTCGCCTTTGTATACCTCGCCCTTAGCATAGTGCCTGGCACATCGCAGAAACTTAGTAAGTCTTGGAAGAATGAATAAAGCGAAAGACACCAAGGAAAGTATTTCAGTTCCTGATGATTCTCCTCGGACCTCCAGACCCCAGGGCAGAAAGTCACGAAGGAAGAAGGCTGAGGTCCTCTGGTCAGCTGAGGAGAGTTGCTTGAATTCCCTGCAGTTTCCTTTCCTAAAGGCCCAAGAGAATAAATCTGTGCCTCATTTGACTATTGATAAACCTCTCAGGTTTCAGCCTATGATTTTAGGGCAATCTCTCCCTTCCCCCACACTGCTGTCATCTTTATATATATCATGTACGTGTTGCCAGAGACACCTTGATGATATCCAATACAGCTTCAAGAGGAGTAGGTCAGAAGATTCTTCAGAACTGAGATACCAGGAGTGGTGGGTTCATGATCACCTTCCCTTTGACGGTGCATTTACCCATCTCAGCCCTTATCCAGAACCTCTGACCAAACTCTAAACAACAACCAGACCTGGAATCCTCAAAAACATCACAAAAGCAAAAAAGGGCAGAAGGACTATTCTAGATTAAAGGAGGACAGGAAAACATGGCAACAAAGTATACCGTCTGATCCCTGGAGTGACCCTGGATCAAACAAGCAAACAAACAGACTGTGTCTGGGTAACTGGGAAATGTTAATATAAACTGTTTATTAACTAACAGTATTGTATTGACGTTAAATTTCTTTGGTGTGATAATAGCATTTTTATTACACAGAAAAATGTCCTTTGTAGGAGATACGAGCTCAAGTATTTAGGAGTACTGTGCTATCTGTAACTTACTTTCCTATAGTTGAGTAAAAAAGTGTGTGTGTGTGTGTGTGTGTGTGAGAGAGAGAGAGAGAGAGAGACTGAGGAGCAGAGAGAGATGAACCCCAGAGAAAGAGACCACGAATCGGATGAACGATATGTGGGTCTCCATCGGACCACTGTTCTGTACGTTTACATGTCCCCAACAGTGTCGGGAGAAAAAACTTTAAGCAACAGAAGCTTGGTCTAGGAGGCGGCCTGACACTCCCCACACCTTACATCCAAGATGCCATCAACCCATCTGCTGTCAACTCCAGTGCGTTCCCGGCAGGTGCGCCCCGCGATCCCACTCACATGTAGGAGGACCCTCCGACAGCCACTTAAGCCACAGAGACAGGGCGTTATCTCGGGGAAACAGCTCTACTTACCAGGACATTTTTTAGCTTGATATCACGGTGCACGAGTCCCTGGCTGTGCAGGAAGCGGATCCCTTCCACCACATCTAGTGCTATCTGCAGACGGGTCTCCAGCATCAGCCCGGCCTTGGGGAGACAAAAGGGCTCACTCATCACTAACAAGACAACTCCTCAGTCTAGCGTGCTTAAACCCACTACGAGCTCCTTCTGCGGGGCGCCGCAAGGCAGCCAGGGCTGGGGCACACAGAGGACAAGGGCAGAGAAGCAGGCGGGAAGAAAGGAAGAGGAAAGCAGTTAGAAGGAAGCCGAGGGAAAGCAAGGAGGACAAGCTGTGAGGCCTGAAAACACTGCCTGGAGGCCGCATGCAGCGGCTGGATGACCCCACATGGCACTAGAGGGGGCGCAGGCCAACACCCGGAGGCGTGAGCTCATTTCCAAGCCCCGAACAGACTCTGGAACTGCCCTCGAGGCTCAAAGTGGTCTCAGGGCGCCTGCCCAGCTCAGTCGGTAGAGCATGTGATTCTTGAGCTCGGGGTTGTGAGTTCGAGTCCCACGTTGGGCGTAGAGATTATTTTTTAAAAATTAAAAAATAAGGGGCGCCTGGTGGCTCAGTTGGTTAAGCGACTGCCTTCGGCTCAGGTCATGATCCTGGAGTCCCGGGATCGAGTCCCGCATCGGGCTCCCTGCTCAGCGGGGAGTCTGCTTCTCCCTCTGACCCTCCTCCCTCTCATGCTCTCTGTCTTTCATTCTCTCTCTCTCAATAAATAAAATCTTTAAAAAAAAAAAATTAAAAAATAAAAGTATTAAAAAAAAAAAAAAAGGATTTCTAGGCCTCTCGGGCAGAATGCCTTCCACTGCTTTGTAGGCCTGGTTAGCCCAGGTTTGGCTTTATGGATTCAAAGATCAAAGTCACTCATCTTACTTTTACCATGCCTCCAGCTTAGGGCCTCTTGAATTCCAGAGAACATTACATCACTCATCCAGAAGCTCAGCCCACTTGTGGGAAAGCATCAGACAGTGCTGAGCCTAACTCCTCTGAAATGAAGAGGGAGAGCCAGCGGGAGAGTCATTTCCTCCATCCTACTGATTTCTCATGGCTCTTGCAATCCTTTCTAAGGATTCCTGTCCTCTATCCAGAAGCTTCCATGTAATCTGTGAGAAGGGACCTACCCAGATACTCTGTGATTAGCTTCCCCCTGTCCCACCCAGCCCCTGTGTAGGGACCAGACAAAGGAATGTCTCCACGTCCCTTGTGGTTGCTTTGGGTGAGGGAAACTCGACATCCAACTGAGGGTACTTCACCTTCACTCAAAATCTTTCAACAGCGGGGCGCCTGGGTGGTTCAGTTGTTAAGCGTTTGCCTTTGGCTCAGGTTGTGATCCCAGGGTCCCGGGATCGAGCCCCACGTCGGGCTCCCTGCTCGGCGGGAGGCCTGCTTCTCCCTCTCCCACTCCCCCTGCTTGTGTTCCTGCTCTCACTATCTCTCTGTCAAATAAATAAATAAAAAATCTTAAAAAAAAAAAAAAAAAATTTCAACAGCATTTCATGGTGTACAACGGAATTTGAAGTCTATGGAAATTCTTAATTTTGGTGTTCTGTAATTTCTTCTCAAGATTTTTTTGCACATCATGCCCCTCTATTCCCAGACAGCCGCTCCAACATGACTAGTGTCCTTCAAATGCTCTGGGCATTATGCTATTCCTTCCTGCTGGTACGGCCTCTTCTTTCTACCAGCCCAAATTTTACCCATCAAGGTGGATTTATCACACTCAAACACCAGATCTTAATGAAATATTCACCGACAGCAAGTCTCTTAAAAGCTTCTGGCAATTACACCTTTTTTTTTTTTTAAGTAAACTCTATGCCCAACATGGGGCTTGAACTCAGGACCCCAAGATCAAGAGTCACATGCTCTACCGACTGAGTCAGTCATGTGCCCCTGGCAATTTCACTTTTTGATATCCCCTTATAGTGCTTAACACAGGGTCTTATACAAAGTAGTCACTAATAAATATTTGTTGACTAAACAACAAACACTCGCTGTATCCATCAAGAGCAAAAAAAGAGGAAAAATAGCAAAGTTACAGGATGCTTTTCTGCTCTTCTGAGTTGTCTAGATTTTTACCACCACCACAAGAGGTAAAAGTGGTGAATCGGCAGTATTCTGGATATAAACTGGGCCAAAAAATCGATTCTGAGAAATGTTTAAGGTTTTTTGGAAATAAGGGTAATAAAGCTTGATTATTGCCAAAAAATGCCTTGTGAAAGCCAGAAGGTCTGGCTAAACGAGAACGGCAGACAGGCCAGAGAGGACCCCGCGGGTGTGGCTGCCGGCTGCGCCCCAGCCCCCTCTTCCTGCCTCACCTTCAGCCCAGTGTAGAGGTCCCGGTGCAGCCGCTCCATGATGAGCAGCACAGCGATGCTGGAGCCGCCGCCGTAGCTGTAGTCGATGACCGAGCCATGCAGATCCACCAAGCGCTCGTGCTTCGGCAGAGACCTGGTGCGAACGAGAGAGGCCGGGGCTGCAACGCTCCGGCTCCAATCGCGACAGCGTGCTGCCACATAGGCAGGAGTCCCCTGAGACCACTCTTGTCCGGGGCCAGACGTCATGGCCCTCAGTGCAGAGGGAGGGCCAAAAGAGTGGCCTCTCTAACAAGGAGTCGGAATTACGGAATCTAAAGACTGACAGGCCTTAAGGACGAAGAAGTCAAACGGAAGGCAGAGTCTGAGAAATTGGGATGGTAGGGAGAGGGAAGAGACCATGAAGGCCTGCAAGAGAGCACATTTCTGGGCCCAACACGGAAACACTGGCTACAACATCTGGGGACACAGGAAGGGAAAGACATGGTGTGCTGTAGCTCTTGGTACATGACCTTGGTACAAAAGCCAGGCTTCTGGCTTCTTCTCTGGATCTTCTCCCATAGAGATGAATGACAGGGGAACCTACCTCATGTAGTGGAACTCCAAAGCCAGGTCATTCCAGTGCTTCTCATCTGGAGGGACGACCGACTTGAGGGCACAAGGGAAGTGTCCTCCCCAATTGTCACACAGGTACACCACACCATATTGGCCCCGGCCTAGCTCCTGTCCCAGTTTAGGTTTACCTATCAAGTATGGACACAGAGATAAGGCAGGAGGAATGAGAACTTGCTGGGCAACCTCCCTAAGACTCTTAGAACATGTGGGGCACCTGGCTGGCTTGGTCAGTGGAGCACGTGACTCTTGATCTCGGGGTTATGGGTTCGAGCCCCATATTGGGTATACAGATTACTTAAAAATAAAATCTTGAAGACTGCAGATGAAAAAATATATAAAATATCTTGTTAAAAAAAAAAGATTCTTAGGGTGCCTGGGTGGCTCAGTTAAGCATCTTCCTTTGGCTCAGGTCATGATCTTGGGGTCCTGCGATCATGCCCCACGTTGGGCTCCCTGCTCAGCTGGGAGTCTGCTTCTCACTCTGCCCCTGTCCCCTGCTCGTGCTCTCTTGCTCGCTCTCTCTCTCAAATAAATAAATAAAATCTTTAAAAAAAAAAAAAGATTCTTAGACATGGACCTAGGAGTAGGAAGTCGTAATTATGCTTGGGGAAGAAATTCTGATGCTACTGGAAACTAGTAGAAAGTAACCTAACTGGTCCAATTTAAATAAACTTCAGTCATGTTGTCTGAATTGTATAAATAGCAGGACCAAACAGACTTTAGGAATTCAGAAACACATCAGGGGGTGCTGAGGCAGCTTTGCAAGGAAGCAGCTTTAGACACTGGGATTTTCCAAGGTAGAACATGAGAATGTCAGGTATCCAGAACCTTCTTCCCATTTACTTGGGAAAAACAAGGACTCACGATGCAGCAAGACGTCCTGTAAAGAACGGCTTTCCAAAGAAAGGCGAGCCAGGCGTGGGGCATGATCTTTCCGAACCTTCAACCACAGATCTTCTGTTTTCTCCAACCGGCCTGAGTGGCCAGCTTCTAGCTGGGAGGGAAACAGAAAAAAGTCATGTGACTTATCAAGTCCCCAGCTTGGCTTCCTCACCTATTATATGGGGTAATAACAGCTACCTCCTAAGGGTAACTGTGAGAGTTACACAAGACGTCCGTAACGTGACTGGTACACAGTGAGCTCTTGGTAAGTAATAACTGTTCCTCCTGGATGCATACCCACATCCCCGTACCCCACACTCTACACGCATGTACACACACACATACACGCACATCCACCCCAAGGGGACAAGCAGATGTCACATAACTGTGAACCAGTATGAGAGTTACAAAGTCATCCTTTTTCTGACTCATTCCTAAAATACTGAATAACTTAAATAAAATTCCTACCCCCCCCTTTTTTTAAAGATTTTATTTATTTCTTTGACAGAGACACAACGAGAGAGGGAACACTAGCAGGGGGAGTGGGAGAGGGAGAAGCAGGCTTCCTGAGGAGTAGGGAGCCCGATGCGGGGCTCAATCCCAGAACCCTGGGATCATGACCTGAGCTGAAGGCAGACGCTTAACGACTGAGCCACCCAGGAGCCCAAAATTCCTACCCCTTGATTTTCATTCCTCACTCAGTGAAATGGGGAGAAATTAACTGAGTTCCCTCCATGTTCCCTGGAGTTAGAAAAATCTCCACATGAAAAATGTACTGATGAAACTTCCCATAACATAATATTATCGTTTAATAGCTAGGAAGAAAATATACTGATAATTTTATAAAAATTATATGAAGAGGGGCACCTGGGTGGCTCAGTCGGTTAAGCGACTGCCTTCGGCTCAGGTCATGATCCTGGAGTCCCGGGATTGAGTCCCGCATCGGGCTCCCTGCTCGGCA